ACTCTGTATGTATAAAACAGAAGAAGTTATTATTCATGAAATATCAAGTAACTGATTAATCAACTAAATTCCAAACTACATAAACGGCATCTCTATATTGATATTATTAAATATTAATCTAACTAACTAGCAACTAATCTTGTTTTACTTCCTAAGCAAAAAAAAAAATATTAAGTTATCTAATACCAGATATGAGAAAAGGATTAGTAGGTGCAAGATACAACGGGCTTAGGGACTTAACGGTTTGATCGCTTCGTCAATTTCATGAACTTGCGAATTGGAAGAATTGTATAATCTGGTCATTATAATATGCAGTGGCATAGATTCGACTTTCGTCTGATTGTAGTAACGAATCAAAAGACCGAGAAACAAGGGTTGTGATAATCTGAACAAGTAATCAGATTTAAAAATTCAATGCATTTGATTAGCAGATTTTCTCTAATTATAATAAATAATAAATATGAATAAAATTAGACAATGTACCTAAACACTATGTCGGAAATCGCATAAATTACTCCATAGAATATTAATTGAACTCCAAAACATTTCATAAGGACCTTTAGTAAACTAGGCTCCTTCAATTTCTTTCTTCCAGTATTGGTACTTCCTTTTTCCTTGTTCAGTAATTTCTGTTTTCTATATGCTTCATAATCCTTTTGCCATACTTTTGATATCTTTGCACCTAAATAACTGCTGTTATGTTCTTTGAGAGTTTTATATAAGTCGGTTACTTCCAAATCTCTATGATAACCAGCCCAAAAAGTAGGTAATGTAAATCTACCAACAAAGATAAAGTTTTTATTGTGGCAAATAATGTTTTAATTTGACATAATTTCAATGATAAAGAGTAAGCAATGCATCAGCATTTTTACTTCGCATTATCTTTAAATCAATGACTGAGCCAAATGTTACAAGGCAATAGAATTATCTGTTTTCAAATGACTAATGTCAATAGTACCTGATTAAAGATAATAGGAAAAGTTCTTTCAAAAATTTCTGTCTAAAAATACTGGTAGATAATGGCAAACATTGACAACTTCTTTTTATCTCATTTATTGACTTAACAATAGAATTCAAGATAATTCTTATGCCATCTTTTACAAGACTTCCTTATACCTGATTCATAGGTATCTTTATTGAAACATTGCTTACTTATCACCATGAACTTGTGTTTTTATTAGTAGCCAATAACAGGAAAGAAATGAACAAGTCATTGTATTCTTCAAACTTACGCAAATGTTATATTACTAAGAGGATTTGCTCCTTCTCTAGGATTCTTTCTTCTTTCTGCTTTTACTTTTCCATCCATGATGGTTTTTGATTAATTAGCTTTTCCTGCAAAATTTTGGTATGGACAGGAAAAATTACAATTTTTTGTTAAATTAATGTATATTTACAAACAATAAAATTAATGTACTATGCTATTATAACTTTATTATTTCACTACAAATATATACAAATGAAAGATAAATAAATAAGTAGAGTAGGCATATACTATGCAAGTACTTGTTCTGATAAGCGATGTACAAAATGATAAGTTAACAAACTAAATCTAACAATACAAAATATATCTTTAAGTATCGGTAGGGTTTTATCAGATTTCTAATTGGCATTAGTACATATTAATAGATATTATTCTCGATTTGACACATGTTCTATTTTTAACATAAGTACAGGAAATTGATATTTGCTCCTATATGTAAAAACGTTTAACAATTCTATTTAATAGCAACAATACAAAACGATTATACCAACTAAATACGAAATGTTAAAGCAGAACATTTAATGATTGTACACTTAAATGTTCTTAATACTTTTACAAAATGCTTTGGTTTAATCTCCTTATATAATATGGGATTGCTTGCTTAAAATAATGCTTCAAAGAACATTGATTATATATCAAATGGTTATATATCAAATTGGACTTTACTCGCCCGACTTAATCTACACGTGCTTACTTCTTGTAAAACTATACGAAGAAGTCTGATTGGCGAGGCGTTGACAAATCGAATTTAACATATGTAATAGAAACTAGAATTTACAAATTTTCGGCAGTGTGCGCTAAAGTTTATTAACGTCTTTAATAACATTAAATGATTCATCGATTGTTAGAATCACGTCTGATAAATGAACTGTCATATCATCATCACGCTTTTTCAAGATAACCCAAAACGATAGGTTTGATGCATGTTGCTGGTAGATAGAAGCGAGAAATATTATAAAATGTAAATGATGGAAAGCACAAATAAATGTTTAGTCAGTGTTTCGCGCGACTTACGATCAAAGAAGATAGACGGGTCTATTTTACAGCATGCGAATGTTCCATTACTTTTCACTTGCACAACAATTCGTTGGATGACTAGCAACATCCACTTAAGTAGGAGGACGTTACTTGACTGTGCTTTACTCGCTTGCGCTCGCATGAGTTATTGGTTAACCTTAAACTAATACGTGATATCGCCCCGTAGTTATCTTTGCGTATATCTACACATTTCTATCTTTCTTTTTCTAAATCCATATTACTTCGCAATGACGATCAGGACGGCATCTCTTGACAGACTAATGAAAAGAGGGATCTGCTTATCAACACAGCACATCTTTGATGTAAGAACTGAATAAACACATTTTCATCAAGATAATTGACCAGCAGGTCGATAACTATATCAAATTAACCAAATAACATTAAATGAACGATAATAAAAAAGCTAGTTTCAATTCCTATTCGAAATTTTCATTACACTGAATGAAACCCGCAGTCGTCTAACAGAAGAATTCTAATTTAAGAATTAACTTACAAATTTTATTTAATTAAATGACTATTTAATGTTATTGTTAAATGACTATTTAATGACCCAATGTTCTTGTTATCGATAAATTAAATGACAAGAAAGAGATTTCACCGATACATTATCTTTTAAAATGTTCATTGACGCGAACAAAAGGCAAAACTAAAATTTCTCAATGAAATAATTTCGGGTTTTCTGGTAAAACAACGACTAGAGTTAAGTTTTATTTCATGGAATTTATCGAACTGTCGGTAACACTTTTGTACAATATATCATCGCACGTATTGAAAGTAAAAGAAAATTCAATAGAAATGTATTACAAGTATAGTTTAAGTTTAAATACTTAACGCATACATATAGAAAGGACATTTATCGATTGGCAGGTTGTAGCTTCGTGTCTTACTTATTGTTAGTTCAAAATTTGGTCTTATACTATCAACTCGAATTTTTCGCAATTCATAGTTCTTCGTCTCTTCATCATAGTTACTAATCCTCGAAAAGTTCAACAATTTTGTTCAGATAATGTGTCATCTATTTTATGTGGTTAAAAAGAATAACTAAGGGAATTGTACAAATACGAAGAACTAGTATCAGAGAGCTGGACATAACATAGCATTTTTATCATTTACTTTTTCCCTTTGTAGGCCGTACTTGAAACTAGGAAATTCATACACAATGCATTGACGACATTTGGCACTTTTTGTAAAAAGCATAAAATTATGTTAAATTTAAATTTTCGATTATAATGAATATATTTGAGGTTAAAAAAGGCATAAATACTTTTGAAAACTTGAACGTAAAAATAATAGAAAATATTTTTTTCATTAAATATCAATAAATGCAGTATTCAACATGACTATACATACATACATATGTATTTGCTCGTGCATACAATATAAGTATGTATATAAGATTGGATATAAGTATATATTTTGTGTGTGTGCTGTATATATATATATACACACACACAACATATACATACAATATAGCTTATACCGACATTACGTTCTCAAGCGATGAAACGAAGAGTCCGTTTAAAAGACGCATGTGATGACAATTACATTGTATACGTAGTATGTATCATCAAGGCGTCAATTAAGCATCTGAATTGATAACACATCTTCTATTGAACTTTACGAATCTCATTTCCAAAAACTTACGTATCTGATTTATGATTGTATAACATTCATTAGCTTCAACAACTATGCGATAATAATAACACGTATGTATGTATATCGAAATTTTGATATCGCGTACGACGATCAGAGTCGTTGTTTAGCGTTAGGTAGTAGAAACAGGACAAACGACGGAAATTCGTGATATCGGTTTTCGATTAAATTCACAGATTAACGATAATCATAATCATAAACAAGAATCATAATCCGAGATCGCACGGTTATTTATTTTGTGTAGGAATATTTGTGTACGCAATCGTGATTTTATACTTTGCTCTTCCGCCCGAATTTCTTGTCCTTGTAAACTTCTTACAGTTTAATTTCACGACTTAACGCATTTCCATGATCGCAAGAACATTGGTAAGTACTTAGGTGCCTCTGAATAATTCTACCCTTCCTCCGTCCGATATTCGAAATCTTTCGATGGGGGCGTCTTCGCTGTTTCGAACCGATCGCAAATCGATCTCGCAAATTCCGAATGAAACTCATAGAAACGAGGCCTTCAGATTCCAGGAAACCGATACTAGAAATTCGCAGGCGAATACACGATGCGTTCGATCGAATTTCTGCAATCTAATATTCCCATAGTATAACTTATCGCAAGGTTATCCTGTGCGAATACGAGCAGGGACAACATCCGTTTTAATCCTTCTGTACGTTCGCGAATCGACATACGTTGGAAGCAAGTTTTCGTATCGGTTTCCTTGAACGCGAAGCCTCGCAAAAATAATTTCTTCCGCATTTTCTACCTACTACATTTTTCGCCATCGCTTCCGTTTTTTATTAGATCACACATGTTACGGGATACTCTCATATTGATGAAAGATCGAAGTCTCACGTAACACCTTATACATATCAGCGTACATCTAGAAAAAAAATCGCTCCGACATACGTCTTTTTCTTTGTTTTAAGGGCCAGACGAACTAACATCTGCTTCTCGTCTTCCTGTTTCTCACTTTGTTCGTTTTTTGTCGATCGAACATAGAATCGAATCGATCGTAGGTACCTCTGTTTGACAACTAGACGCTATGACCAGATTTCAAGTGTTTTCCGATTGGTTTAAATTACTGTTGAGTAACTCGGTATTTGCGTTGTTTGCGTTTAGCCTCTGCTCTTCCTTTAGCTTCTTCTTCTTCCGCTTGTTTCTCTTGTGCACGCAAAACAAGCTAATGAACAGACAGAAGAGGAAGCCAGAGATGCAACAGGCGATCAATATCCACGTGTTCCTGGCCTTTTCCGTCTCCGCTTTCAATCGCTGTATTTCCGAGCACTGCTCGTACAGTTCCGTGGTTCTATTGCTGAACTCCGGTTTCGTGCATCCCCTTTCGTGCTCTTCGGTGCAGTTGTAGACTGGTCGCGAATGAATTCCGCGGATGCGCAGCCACGCGTTCAACGTCTGGCACTCGCAGCTATTCGCGTCGAATTTGATCGGATTTTTAGATAAGTCAAGGATCTGTAAAGAACAGAAGGAAGCCAGATCCTCCGGAGAAACAGAGGCAATGCTGTTGCCCGAAACGTTCAGGTGCAACAGCGTGGGAAGCGGACCCAGCTGTGGTATCTTGTTAAGCCTGTTCTTCGCTAGCTGCAAGAAGATCAACGGAGACTTCACTTCCATGTTTTTGAATAGGTCGTCGCTCAGTCTATTTTTGGCTAGATAAATCTTTTGGAGATACGGTAACTGGAAGAGACTCTTGGGAAGGGAATCGCAGCCGTTTGTCGACAGATCGATCACCCTCAGGTATCGTAGATTATCGAATGCTCCCTCCTGAATCTCCTGGATGAAATTGTCGCTCAGATAAACATAGGCGAGATTCGTGTACGCCGCCAGACTGTCGTTCGTCAACACTCGCACTCTGTTCACAGACGCGTCCAGCACCTATAGCAAGAATTCGATTCGTTTAATGCTGCAATCGGAAGAACATAATAGTTTGGCAGATAGTGGCCTTTTTCCGTTTATGATAACTTACTTTGCCGTTAGTCATCTAGCTTTGTCACATTGATGGTGAAGATGAAGGAAACGCAAATACGGCATCATCGATCGAGCGTCATCGTCTCACGTAATCGCAGAAGCAACACCATACTTTCGTTTTCTCCGCTTTTACCATCAACTTAGTTAGATGTAACTTTCGAAATAGCTTGTTACACACGGACTATCGCTAATCACTATCTTCCGGATTATGTGAAAACTCCATGCTTCGACTCGTCTTACCTGAATTTCCGTCTTCAAATGCGGAGGAATCCATTCGAGGCCTAAATTCTTGCAATGAACTTGGATCATCGAATACCCCCTGCTGTACTTGCAAATCCTCGAAGGGATGTCCTGATCCATGACTAGTGTTGGCCCGGAAAATCCAAGGACCATCGTGTCCCGCATGGTCGCTACGACGAAGCCCAGCATTAGGAGCCCGTTCATCAGAACTGCACTCATGCCTGTAACAGAGAGGCGAGATTTTCTCGTTGAAGCTTCAAGTTTGCTTTCGCGTCCATGCTTCGAGACGTTGGCGACGTTTCGGAAGAGACGCGAATTCTCGAAAATATCGGGGATAACGTCACGACAGTTTTCGCCCGCGTGAAACTAGCTAGCGTTCCAACGCTTCTCGTTTCGTAACAAGCGAAACTCAGACCGTTCCGCTTGCTCGAAAGGCCAATGAGATACGTACATTCGCGTTACGTTTGAAAACTTATCGCGAAGTAACGTGCGAAAATTCGCCGGCTGCGAATGGCAGGGAAAAAGTATGCGTTGTTATGTAGCGGACTTCGATCCATTATTCTCCGGTGACCGCTCTCGCAAACAATGCGCAAACAATGCGCAAACAATGACGGGAGAATTTCTGAGAAGTATCTTCGATACGGCATTTCACATAGCTGCAACTATAGCTATAGATGCTTTCGCCTCTGTAGAAAACTTTGCTGATCGATGACTGGCTTATAAAATTCATCTGATCGACCGCAACCATGAAACCGCGAACGAGACCCATTTCCCGCGCTAGATTTTCCAGGCTTTTCAAAGTCGAGTCGGTTATCGTTCTTTCGAACAGAGTTTGGTCACGTCTTGTTCGATGCACGCCACGAAATTGCAATCGCGACGCTTTATCGCACCAGTTCCTTATCACGGAAATTGATCGATCAACGGTTTTCAGGATGCCATGGAGGACGAATTCGCGGAAGATGGTTATCGTCGAGTTGCAAGAATTTCTCTCCGTTCAGGCACGTGCCGAAGAAGTCAGTTTATGTACCATGGAAGCAATTCGCGTGGCTGGAGCAGCTAGCGAGCGTTTGACTTGTGTTTATTGTACCAAGCTTTGATGAACTGCAGAACCAGTCCCGGTAATGTAAGCCAACTAACTATATTCTCTGGCCGATAGACAGAACGGAGAGCACGCTCGACGGATACATTTTATGCATCGTTCGCGAAATTCAAAGCCGACTCTCTCGACGCGTTGCGCAAACACCGCGGTACCTGTTTCGCCGTTTCAACTGGGGTTTCCATCTGTTCGACGAATATGCGAATAACTCGACCGATGCAGATCGTTAAAGTTTTAAAATCGTTCAACCCGCCACAACCGCGTCAAGAACCCATAAATTTTTCAACGAGCCTCCGGCTGCAGCGAATTCAGGGCTGTTGCGCGCGTCAATTAAAAGCTACCGAGTCGTTGCGTTGCTTAAGCGATTGTTGTTTCGAAGGAAACGCGCGGAGAGTCGCGAAGGATCAGATAAATACTAGGAATGTACGACACGCGGAAAGGATTCGAAATAACGTGGTAACCGAACAGAATCCCAAAATAGATCGTATTATCGCAAAGATGCCTGCGTTACGCTGCTCGCGGCAACAGGTCTGTGAAACGTATAGAAAAGGCTGAGAGCTCCTCATCGTGGTTATTCGTGGCGCGCCCAAACCATCAAACTTTAAACGTAAACTCGACTAACCGATGGACCGTGATCGACGTTGCTGAAAACGGGAGGATCACCGGGAGGATGAAGGAACAGGAACGAGCGCGTTCACTAGAGAAGACCAAGATGCTTTGTAGAGACGAGAGAGACGAGAGATAAAACGCGACTAACTGCAAGATAGGTGGGCCAAACTCGTGGAAATAAATTAGCGAGTTCTCGTGTATCAGGCGATTCAATTAGTAAGTAAGTTTGGTGAGACCTGTATTGTTACTGTTCCTATTATCCAAATACGTACTCAACTATCCGAACATTCTGTTATCTGAACGCTTTTTCTTCCGGAACAACGTTCACCATTCCGTGTCCTGTAGAAACAGAAACGTTCTACCATCGTTCTAACAGGTACGTACACAGAATGAGATACGAATCTGTTAGAATACGCGAGACATCTGCCGCTCAACTCGATAAATATCGTCTATAACATCGTACACAGTGTTACTGGGAACATAAACTAGAGCGAAACGAATTCGACGCTCGTTTCACGTTTCAAACTCGAGAAATGATTGCTACTTTATTCTCGTGTCTTGGTTCGGAAAATAGTCGTATACCTGCTCCCTCGTATACGATAAACCAATGAAGCGATGATGCGTGTATTTCGTAGGCTATCGATGCAACCGGTCGGATTCGATGCGACAACGCCAGCCTCGGCGCTTTCTCTGTGCTTTGTGCTTTTCAATTTTTCACCCTTGTCACGAACTTTGAAATTCAGCTTGAAACGCGTGCGTTTTACGAGAACAGCAGCACGCGATCGTTCGTAATAATTGAAGTCGCAGGAAAAAATGTAGCCGGCGACCCGAAAAAAATCTACGAGTTTTCAGTTTTTTCAACCTTTCCCGTTTTTCCCGAGCGAGGCCGCGCTGTCCTGCTAGAACAGCCGTAATCGGATGCTCTCGTTCGTTCATACAGCCATCAACGTCGAAATTGTAGGAAAAAATTCGTCATTCGCGATACGAAAGACACGGAGCTGGTAGGTCGCGATGCTCTTTCAAACAATTTATGTTTACCGATTTTCGAGCGATCACGCGCCATATCGTGCAAAATGATCGTCGTTTTCTTTAAAATGAAACGTATGTACGTATCGTTTACGTCGATGACTACCGATCGTGACTTTACAAGTATTTGTTCGTGAATTTTACGATAACCGAGTCGTCAAGTTGTAGCGTAAAAAACGGTAAAAGTTGACAGAATCGTTACTTCCGTGCTTGATACGATCCTAGCCGGAGGTCACCGGTTCGTAAACCGTTTCATCCACGAATTCGCATTTCCCTTGTGACTTGTTCTCCCTCTCGATTCGGCCCTGCCCGTAAACATACTTTACGAGCTTGTCCGACGAACACCCCACATTTGTCTCCCTTTTTCGTTTCACCTCTGTGTTTTTCTCAGCGAATTTGTAGTTTTTCCAGCGTCGTCGATCGCTCTTTCTCTAGATCCCTGTTAAAAGCGGAATAAAATCGAAGAAACAACGAACGTTGGTTCCTCGGTTAATATTCGTGACTGGATTCACGGGAGTTAAAGACGAGCTTCGTTTCAACAAAATGCATCGAACAGAAATGTTTTCCTTCTTCTACCAGAGTTTTACATGTTTTCGCATCGCGAGATTCGATCCCCACCGATCCGAAGTAAGCCTGCCCATGCTGACATTCGCGTAATATCGCAACGAGACAAACTTTGTAGGAAGCGACATCGGTTCGAATGATATCGCTTGGAAAATATCAGGGTGCCGTGTGGCATTACGCCTGGCCGACGAAAACTGCAGTCATCCGTGACACTTGGAACGCAAAAAGGTGAAAGAAGAGAAATCTTAGAAAGTGGTGATAACCCTCTATGACAACGCGTCGACTCGATCGCTTTCTAGGGGAGACGTCTATCATTTATCGACGCTAAACGTTATATCGCATTCGGTGAACTTTGCTCGTTAAACAGCCGAGTCTGCTCGATACAAGATTGCTTATAATAGTTTCTTTCCCCCCTGTCTTATCTTTCAACCGGTTGGGTAGAATGTAGCAACTTTTGCTTGCCTATGTTTGCTCGATAACAACGATCCCCGGAAAAAATTTTCGGGAACAATATATATTAAACAGAACTATCGGCGATAAGAATCGAAGGAACTTTTATAAAAGTGTTATGTACAAGTTATCGCAGATTATTGTATGCTCGGCGGTTGTGATTCGTCATTTCGAGATAATTATATAATAATAGCAGGCGAATACGTGGATAACGTTATCACGATAACGTGTTTGTCTTAGATTTCGACACAATTCCAAGTTATTGCCTGATTTTGAGTTTTACGCGAGTCATCCATTACTTATTAACGTTTATTACGTGCAAGTCATCGATCCACCGCCTTTGATGTAATTCCTCATGATGTATTTACAAAACGCAAGTCTAAAGTCGACAGGCGAGCTCATTGAACTTTTCGTAATCGATGTTTGTTTCCGACGTTAATCGTTCCTCATTTCTTTACTGCGCGTTCTCTGTCAAATCGATCGAAGTAAACGACTTAAAGCGGCAATACGAGACACGATCGCTATAGTGAAAATCTGGAATGAAATTGGTTGTAAAACAAGCATACGCCCGATATATCGTATCAACGTTAATTTCCAGCTTCGTAAGAAATCGTCATCTATCGAGCGGCGTTCTGAAAGACCTTAAAACCTGAAAGAGCTCGAGGCTTAGAGTTATCAAGGATTACAGGTATAATCGAATAAAATATTAAGGCGGATGCATCTTCGGTCGAATGAAATTAAATCTCCGACTTCGTAATATACTTTTTCTTCGAATTCATCGCGCATTCAATACCAAAGCACGCTGATGAAAGAATTCTTATTTTCTTCTAAACGAAAATCAGGACAGACAATTGCAAATACAACTACGACAACTGCGTGATGATAAATTTCTCTTTTAAGGTATCAATCTCTTGCGCGTCCAGCTGCTTCTATTTTACTAATAAAGGCTGGTCGGGTGTTGCTTGATATTCATTTCCAACGCGTGCACAAACTTCTCTCGAATTATCAACGACTGTTAGATAAACGAAACGTTTCCACAAAAAAAAAAGTTACCCGAAGGGGCGCGGTTTAACGAATGGAACGCGGTCGCCGCAATTCTCGCGCTATTTGAAATTTCAATTTCAAATAGTCTGAAATCACGAGCGTTTTTCCGTGAATTCGCGAAATATGCGACAACGGTCGTGAAAGTTGCGTTGGAAATCAGCGAGCGAAATCGGCGAGAAGATTAAACGCGAGTGCAATTTTAGCGAGTGGCAAAGTGCAACGTAGTTGCATCTGGAAATAAAACGGTCAGGAGGAGAGAAAACTGCCGAAAATAACGGCGCAACGAGGCGTCCCGCGATGGAAACAAAAACATCTGAAGGAGACGAGAAGCGGACGGCTGAAAAGACGCCCTTTGTCGCGAGCAAGCAATTTTCCCGGAAATAGCGGTCCATCGGGCACGCCAGAGATTCGTTTTCGAGAACCTCACGGGATCGCGTAGAAAGAGAAGAGAATTTAACGATGCCGATGAATTTCACAGGTTATTTGTTTAATAGCCTAGGAAATCAAAAGACCAGGCGAATTCAACTTCGAATAATCAAATAATTACAATTTGCAAACTGCGCGTTGTTTCGATGTAAATTCCAACGAATCTGCGTGAAAGGTAGAGAAACTGATGGAATTTTGCCGGTGAAAATCGATCCTTGAAAGAACGAAAATTAAATGAGGAACGCATCCGTAACGCGCGCGAAGATTATTAACTGTCTGGCGGCGTAATAAAATAACAAGGATAAGATTTATCCTGAAAGATCTAGAATGTAATTATTTCATTATCGTAAAGTTTCTTGCGTTTCTAATATCGCACGTAAAACAATAATATGTACTTTCAACTTCTCATAGGAAGTAAATATTCTGAATAAATATAAAAATATTATGATACTATGTTTGACAGTTTGACGGACCTCTCTCTTCCGAGTTACACCGTGCAAGGGTTAACCGGCAGCGTTGATCACGCGTGTTTCGCTAATATGTCATTTTTCGACCGGTCGTTTGTGCAATCTCTCGAAATTAGATTTACCGTGGCACTCGTGTCGCTTGGTTTTCAAAGGGAAACCACTTGTACAATCGCGTGTAACAACATTCTATCGAGCGTAAAATAGTTTTTATTCCAGTAACGTTCCGTGTAAATTTGTCATGATGATGTAACAGTATCGTGGATTGTCGAGCATACAAAGTCTTTTCGCGAAAGTCATCTCGTTTGGAAAATCCGTGCAATTTCTGCAGGGGCAACCGTTCGATTGCGACCGGTTTTGTCCGTGTAAATGACAAAAGGCGAACTCGGCCTGGCCACGCTTTTAACCTTGAAACCGTAACAAGAGACTCGCGATTGGCTCTCGAGTTTGGTCCAGACTAGCGTTCGAGATTCCTTTCTCTCCGAACTAGAAGAAAAAGAGAAAAGAGGGCCGAGAAAAAGAGAAGAAATGAAAGTGGAAGGTCGGCAGTGGCGAAAGGCAAACCATCACGGATGGAAAGGGAGGCCAGCTAGTACGGAGAATTGGTATTTCGTCAAAAATTCAGTTGCCGGTGACCCGTTCCCTTTCCTCTCTCCTTTCGTTCCGTGCAAACATTGGGAACAGATATTTTCCGAGCAAACAGTCGTAGTTCTGTCGTAACTCCCATTAACCGGTTGGTTCTTCCGTAGCTGCAGTTTCTAGAGAAAATAAATTAAACGAGAGCGAGCCGAGTGTCACGCTAGCACTCGATATTCGTCGGAACATAGCGCCATCAACGATCGCGTCTCTTCCTCGCTAAAGTTTTTCCAATCTTCCCTCGAGAGAGAACCTCCAAATTCTCGCGATCTTCGAGCCACATAACAGAAATATTTGCACCGGTAGCTACCACGTTTGTTTTCCTCGTTTATTGCGTGTCCTGGATCGCGTCACGTTTCCTGACCCCTTGTCGAACGCGTTCGTGGTCCTCGAAAGACACTCGGAATGCTCGCGCGTTTCAGCTCGTTTCTTATCTTGGTAACGTGTCGAAGAGAGGGAATCGAAATCAGGAGAATAAATGCCAGAGGCTTTACGCGGAGAACATGAGACGAACGAATGATTACGCGGCGACTAGACCAAAAGAAAAACAGAGACAGAGAGAAAGGAAGGCGGGGGAGGGGCAAGTGCTAGCTGTTTATCGGGTCGAGGTCAGATATAGTACAACTTATGGGATTTTTCTCTGCGTCGATAATTAAAAAAAGACCAATCTTCTTACTAAAATCTTCGTGCAGGACCGACCGCAATGATCGAAATAAGCAAAGTTTTTCTCCGTTCAAACGAAGGATGAAACCGTCAGCTTGTTCGAGAGTTCGCCTTTTGCCCTGCTCCCTTCTCCATTATTCCGACCGAGAAAGGAGTTTCGTGAACAAGTAAACTCTCTAATAAAGAATCAAACTTCCGGATGTGTTCTTTGGAGATAGTAAGGGCGAGTGAGAGTTATTTCGAGGTATCGATTAAATCATTTTTCCCCCTCGAGCCAACTTTTTTGATACGAATCGACGGAGGCGATATTTAACAAGCGCCTAAAACCCATTTCTTTCACACGAGCCCTACTCTAATATTAATTATTCTCTTTCTTCTTCTTACCACATTGTTCGTTAGGTTCGCAATTACAATTTCTTTCTTCGTCGAATGGGAGACTCTGCATAATACTGGCGCAATTTCGTCACGTACGATGAACCTAAGAAAGCGTGGCAGAGAATTTTTCACCGCTAATGCAGGATAGATATCGATCACGGAGGTACGTACTTGCAACCAGAAACGTGCACGGTAGTCCATAGATCGAAGGATGAATTTGATCACGCGTCAGGTACTCTGTCAACAGTTGGTATATACCATAGAGCGGATTTTCGGATTGCCGCCACTCGTATAAATCGAAGGTATAGGAATTAATTAAAAGTGCCCGTTGAAAATACTGAAGCGAATCAGGTTAATAAGATACACAAGCAAATAACGCCGC